TTTATCATTTATTTTTTTAATATCATTTAATTAGTCTCTATAAAAAAGTAAAAATAATTTCATTTACTTATCATATGATATAACTTATCGTTATATGAATTATATAAACATTAAATTAAAATTTTTGTCACAAAACTAGCTTTCGGTTAATTAGTTTGAAATGTATTTTTATAAAAATACTAATCACTTATTTCGTTAATACTAATCACTTATTTCGGTAGTAATAAGTGATTTGCACACAATTCTTGGATCTGTTTAAATTTGTGATAAATTATATTCAAAAAGCAAAATAACAACCATAGGGATTTAGGAATAAAGTTCAAATTATGTTTAAGATTAAGCTTGGTACTTTTGTACAGTACATAATTAATTTAATAAGTTCTACCAAGAACTGTATTTATTATCAATTACAAAAGCGTGTAATTAACACGAAATTTCATCTAAAGTCTGAAACCTATATCTATTTGCGATTTTTAATTACTTTAAATATTACCCCTAAATGTACATAAAATTTATAACAAAATATCTCATATAACGGATATGTAATGAAATGCTTCTCATTATGTGATAAATTAATAAAAAGTCATCGATAAATAAGTGAATCAATAAATTGGATAAAAGTAAAAATGTGTGCTCACAAGTCAGAAAACAATCAACAAGTTCATTATTTATATTTACTTTAGTGTTTAGTCAACTGACAATTATATAACTTGAATACAATTAATAATAAAGCGTTTTTAACGTGTAATTTAAAAATATCCAAAATTACATAATTGCAAAAACTCAATAATTTGGGTAAAATTGTCGGCATTTAATGAATTGACCGAAAACTAAACATTTATTTAATTGATAAATATTCCCATTAAATGCACTAAATATGCACTCAATTGTATTTCAATGGCAACAGTAATACTATTAATTCAGTTAAATCAAAGTTTTCGCTAAAACTGATGAACAGTTTTCTGGCAAAAACATTATTTAATCAATTATAAGATTATTATTATACTATAAAGTTATTGCATTCACAATGTTTGTCAATATTTTGCAAAACAACAAATATTTCACTGTTTTGGCCAATTATTACAAATTCCAAGAAATCAAAAGCAATTTAATTAAAGTTTTGTAATTTAAAAATTCATATATTTATCAATTGGTTGAAAAGTTTTGCCAAAATAAATACTTTAATTCAATGATAGTCCAATGATTACTCTAATCATTGAAAATGTATTTAAATTTATATAATATCCAAACAATTAATGAATGGATGCTTTTATTTCACAAATTAAACACTTGTTGAATACAAATATATTAATATTTATATAAATCTCTATCAAAAAGTATTTCTAAATTATTTATTATTAATAACTTTAAAAATATGTTTTAAAAACGATATTTACATTAAAAGTCAATTACTTATATCTATTATATAGTTATGTAAAAGTAATAGCAATTAAAAGTGTGACTCAATTGATGCCCAAAACTATAGATAATATATTTTTGTCAATTTTGTGTCCCATTTATCAGACATTCAATTGTATTAAATGTCAATTCAAATGATTATTACTTTTATTATAACGATTGCGATAACAATAAAGTGTTGAGTGTTTGCATTGAATGTGTGATACAAATGTCATTTTACTGTTTATTCAATTGGAAACTCGTTTAAAATGTTAATTTGAAAACATTATTGTGTTTTATAACGATTACAAACAGTATTGAAAAGTATTAATAATTAATAAATTGTTAATAAATAGTAATCAAAACGTTTGAATACCTGATTATCGGCTCATTTGGTGTATTAATACATGCATTGAGTTTATGTCAAACATTACTAAACATTTTTGCGAAACACATCTCAAACTCATTTACATTACATAATAATTGACATTAAATTAGTGTACATTTCAATACATATATTAATTTATAATTAGTTTATAATTAGTTAATAATAACTTAAATAATAAATTAAACTTAAACTCAATTTTTATTTTTATTTTCAAAAGTAAACAAATTGTTTAACAAAAATGTAATAATTTTAACACAAATAACGTTTGCATTCATATGTTATGCGAAAAATACATTGAGTTTTGCTCTCAAACATCAAAACAACACTCAATTTGTTTTGCATTTTAATTGTTTTTTGAATTGATTTGACATTAATTGACATCAAAATGAATTCACAATTAAAGGGTAATTGAATTGAATTTATATATAATTATTATATTTATTAACAATTGTCTTAATTATCAGAAATAATGGCAAAACTGTCGCACAACTCAAATGGCGGTCAAATGAGGCCCTCGTGTCTCAAATGTGGATATCGTAAGTATTGACCACTTTTTTATTTCAAGACTTTATACAATGACTTAATGATGAGAAGCATTAACTGACTCGTGATTGGATCCGTTGAACAGCTGGACATTTCACATACCAATGCCGTAACTTCTTCCGCATGAATCCCTCGCAAGACATTGTTCTGGACGTGAGTTCCACCAGTTCTGACTCCGATGACGATCCGACCGACACTGCCATCGATGCCAACAATATCATCAAAACTGATCCAAAGGCACACTTTAGTGGCGGACAACCCGACGATAAACGACACAAAAGGTGTGCCAATCAGTGGTTGGTTTGAATTGAATATAACTTATCATTTGATTGACTTTAATAGACATAAAAAGAAATCCAAATCCCATCACAAAAGTAAGCGAAAGCACCGGAACTCGGATTCTTCGTCTGACGGCAGCCCTAAGAAGACTCGGAGTCGAAGTAAAGACAGACATCGGAAACACCGAAAGCATAAGTCAAGCGATGAGAGCGACGATCGCCGCAAAGATGACCACAAATCGAGACATAAACGCAAACATAAGTCCAAAGATAGGGAAAGAAGACGCGAAAAACAGACCAATAAATAGTTATAATTATAATTTTTGCATAAATTTTAAGCTTTAAAATTGTAATCATTATGCAATTGATGTCAATTGAAAGCAAATACAGTACTTGTAATCACTTTGCGATTAGAAGTGTGTATCACTTCTTTGTTGTCAATCATTCATTTGATACAAACATTTTCATGAAAAAAAGTTTATTAAACTTGACTTTAAATTTGTAAAACTTTCCATAAAAAAGTGATAAATTGTCATAACTTTCATATAAATAGCTTTGGAAACTGATTGCGAAACTTAATGTTTGCGTTCATTTTAATACATCTCTCAAAACCTATTTAATTACATTACAAACTAATATGACTTTATTATCGAAAATGTCTTTTTTTGGTGTCCAAAGTTCAACGAGAAATCCAAATAAATAGTGTTATTCAATGATAAAGACATTTAATTTGATTTTGAATAACTGTTTCTCAATTGAGTGTTGAGAAGACTGATGGGAAGACTGCGCGTCTTTGCGCTTATAATCGTCGATCAAATTTCAATACAAGTGAATGAGAATTATATCTAATATTTGTGTTTTAATTAAATCTCTTTAAATTGATATGAAAGTTGACTTTAAGTCATATTTTGTTTCTTTAATACGTTTTTTCTATTAATAAATAAATGTTTCCTCAAATGATGTATAAATTGGGAATAACTTCACTCTTACTCTCACTTGTTTTACTCGGGACTCAATTGCCCCATACATTGGTTGAGTCTAAGGCCCTATTATGCCGTCCATCGCCTAAATGGACAGTCAATAACGGAACCGTTGACCCAATGAAGGAGTCGTTTGGAAACGTAACAGTAAGTGCTCTTCGAGTGATCAACTAATTGTCAAATTAAAGTTTGTTATTAACAAGTTTTGAAACTTTGTCAAAAAAGTTGGTCACTTTAATTGACGTCTCGTATCGGTTCGGCTTAAAACAGGCCTCGAGTTTGGAAAATATGTTAAGATTTCTCAAGAAATCGGGTCTAAAAGACATCCACTTTATTCTGATTAACTCGAAGGATATCGACGCTAAGCAAAAGCTGAAAGATGTCACACAAAAAGTATCGTTTGGTGTCTATCAGGAAAATGAAAGCGATTTGATTTGGAGTGCATTGGATGGCGGAAAGGATGATATGTTTATATACGACAGGTATTTGACCGCACAATCCATATTCAATAGCCGTTATATTGAGTTGTCTGTAAATTGACATCTTATCTGACTTTAATACATGTATCAGATGTGGTCTTTTGACATATTATATACCGTTCCCATTGAGTATAATCCACGCGCAACAGCCTATACTTCAAGCGGCACTTTTGTCCACTTATTTTGACAATCCGTGCGGCGAGTCGTGTGACTCATTAGGAGCTGAAGCCATACTTTCCAACACCACTTCAATTATCACGGATTCATTGAATATAACAACGACTGAGTCCTCATTGAGTTCAAGGACTGATCCCATGACTACAACTACTCTTAACATGACATTTGACGATACATTTCCTGTCGGCTTAAATGAGTCGCAAGCGTTTGAATCCAATGCCACGTCTATTGATTTGAGCGAAGATAATGTCATCGTTTTAGAGACGACAGAAACCAGCGATGGATCGATTGGCGAAGATTTCAGTGGTTCCGGAAGTGGTGACTCACCCATCGAACAGACGCCTCAAGTGAGTACTCAAACCAATAATTCATCGCTGAATGGGAACCGAGAAGAGGACGAGTGGAAGATTTTGGACTTCTTTAAGTCCGACGACAACCGTTCGGATAAAGAGATTTTTGAAGAGATATACAACAAAAGTATCGCAGAATTGGATCCCATTTCAAAGACCGACACAAAACCGGTCGAGACGTTGAATGAAACGCAAACGACTACCGAAGCGATTGAAGTGCCGCTAAACGTGTCCAACGCGTCGGCCATTACTAGCGAACCGCCGGTCGGGCTATCGATTGGCTCTAAAAACCCGTTGCGAACGAAGATATCGTTCTTCAACTCCGCTTCGCGGGCGAAGTGCGAGACATTCAATCAGTCGATGTGTATGGAGTGGTCGACGGATCGTCTCCTTCGGGCGCGACTCTGTTGTCTGACAGATGTGTTGGCTTACGAGGACTCGGGCTTCGGTTGCGGACACTTTGAACGCTCCAAATGTAATCGAATGCTTCCACTCATCAAATGCTGTCTAAAAGACTTTTCCCAACTTTTAGACAACTATTTCCAAACAATTCGTGTGACTCCTCGGCCTTTACGACAGAAATTTCGCTAATTTTTGATTGCGATTATTTATATTAAAACCATTGATAAGCTTTTGGTGTAAGGATATAATGATAAGGAGTAGAGATAAAGTGAAAGGTCTTTCGGAGTTATTTGAATAAATCCTTTGTATATTTGTGTCTTATTTATCAAATTTCCACTTTTAAGCCTTCATTTCATTTAAACATTTTGCTTAAACCATAAAAATCTCATTTATTTTATTTTTTGATGACTTTATGATTTTATTGTAAGAATAGTGTGTTTTGAACATTATTTACTAAATGACTAAATAATATATAAATACTTATGTGTAAATTAATTTATTTACTAATGTTTTATCTAAAATTATTTATATTCTGAATATATGATAGTTTATAGAAAATGTGAAAAATAAATTAAATGTTAGATTAGATAAAAATAACTCTTATTTTATAGGAATTATTCAGTCTTTGAGATGAGATTTGCTTCTTTGGCCATCGAATGAAAGATTGAATCGGTTTTTGCCATTAAATGTTTGGGTGAATCAAACTCGGCTACCATTCCCTTATCCATAACCAAAACTCTGTCGTAATCTATAATAGTATTCAATCGGTGAGCGATTGTCACTATTGTGGACGAAGAGAACTCCGTTCTGATGGTCTCTTGGATCAAGTCATCCGTTTCCATATCAACGGCTGTGGGAAATAATTGAATGGTTTAAACAAATGGCAATTGAATGAAGTGAGTGAACGTACCGGCGGTCGCCTCATCCAACACCAGAATCTTACTCCTCCTCAACAGAGCTCTCGCCAAACAAACCAACTGTTTCTGACCGACACTCAAATTCTCTCCGCCCTCTGATATTTGATGGCTTAACCCATTTTCCAATGTATCCACAAATGTCTTTAGATGAGCCGATTCTATAGCTCTCCAGATCTCGCTGTCTGAGTATTGATCAAATGGATCCAAATTGACGCGTAAAGTGCCGGTAAATAGTGCGGGATCTTGAGGTATAACTGTTATTCTGGACCTCAAGTCATATAAACCTAATCTTTTAATATCGATGCCATCGATAGAAATGGTTCCGTCGACGGGTTCTATAAGCCTAAAGAGGGCTAAAGTAAGCGACGACTTTCCGGCACCGGTTCGGCCCACGATTCCCACCTTTTCGTTGGCTTTAATATCGATGGTTATATTCTTGAGCACTAAATCGAGGCCTTCCCGATATCTAGTGCTATAATTGTTGAACACAATGCCTCCACTTTCAGGCCATTGCGGATTGGGTTTATTGTTTTCGTCAAACAATTCAGCCTAAAATCAATTAAGATTTAAGCGTTAAAAATATTTTTCAATTTACAAGTGAGACAAATCATACTTCGGTCGGAGTTTTTGTGTATTCAATAATGCGCTCAATCGATACGATATTGGTCTCCAAATTAGTAACACTGTTAACAAACATCGATAGTATACTCGTTATACTCATTGAGTAGCTAATGGCCAGACCAGCCATTCCGGGACTCAAAGTGTTGCGGTAAATGACGGCAAATATTGCGGACAAGAATACAATACAATTGCCTAAGAATTCGAGACGAATAGACAGCCAACGCGAAGCCGTGAAACTCGGATAATAGCAGATATGATTGGCATCGACTCTATTATTGGATTCCTCAATGAAGTACTGATTCGCACCGAAGGCTCTAATACTTGTGGATCCGTTCACTGTTTCGCTGAAATGATTATAAATAGGCGAACGAGAAGTCGAGTCAATTCGCTTCAATTGACGGGAAGTCGCGATATATATCCGTTGAAACAAATAGTAAATTACAGTCAATGGTAACTATTTGCGGTTATATTACCCGCGGAGTTCTGAATAGTATCGCTTGCTCTGTTAGTAAGACTTCTTGTATAACTTGTGGTAAGCATACAATTTGTTATCCGAGTACAGACGCCACAGGTGCAGAAAGGAAAAACGATTCAATACTCTTCCGACGGGTGTTGTGTCTGTGGATAGACTTAAGCGTTAATAACACACAAATACGAGCGAAACAATGAAATTTATACCGAAGAAAGCCATCGGCGCTCTGAGGATACGGAATAGCATTTTATTGTGCAATTTTTTGGCCGCTTTAATACACGACAGACTAATCAATAGATGCGCTGATAGAGTGAATATGGTTTCGGTTAAACCAATGCCCGCATACGCGCCGAGCCGTAAATCACGCAATTTAGTATCGTTTAGCTTTTTGGGGTCGAGAGCGTCGTTAGACCATTCGGTGAGCCAAAGACCGGAACCAATTGTGGCCCCGTTTGCCGCGATATAGAAAAATTTATGGTCAGGATACTCTACGGTTGGTTAGTAGACCTTCATGAGGAATATCTGCAGCTCAAATTGCCGAGGGCAAAGCCGGCAAAGGCGAAGTTATTCAGCTGGCGGAAAAGCAAAGACAAGAAACGCTTTATTTTGTTCATTGCTTTCAGTCTTGGATTCCTTACCCTTAGAACTCGTGACACTCGTTGAACGCATTGAAAATTGTCTTCTTATATCACTTCCGGGTCCAGACTTTTCAGACATTACTGATATTGATCTTCCGATAAATGGCTGAACTCTTTCTCTTACAAATAGCTAATGAAGGTTAAGAAGCAGTAAGTGAAGTCTCAGGTTGACAACGACTTCTATAAGCCGGTGCTTAAGCCGCTTTAGAGGAAATAAACGCTCATTAAGAAGTTTTCACGGCTTAAGACTGATCGAGCCGTCTTTGAGGACAATAATTTGGTCCACATTTGTTAGAATGGATGCCCTGTGGGTCACCAGAAGTCTGGTCTTGTGTTTAAGTATTCCGTTCGGACCAATCACTTGATCCATAAGATGTCGGCCCACATGTGCGTCAACGGCGCTGTTGACGATTCAAATCATGTGTTAAATAAAAGGTGTATTTCTAACCCAATTATTTGAATACCTGAGCGGATCGTCGAGTAAATAGATGTCTGCATTAGAATAGACGGCTCTCGCGAGGGATACTCTTTGTTTCTGACCTCCGGATAAGTTGATTCCCTTTTCGCCGATTTCAGTCATATCTCCGGCCGAAAGTATTTTCAAATCCGGTTCTAAAGCACACGAATCGATGACTTTCTTATAAAATTTTTCGTTAATTTTGTTTGTGAACAAAATATTCTGTTTGAGAGTCGAGTTCTGTATCCACGCCTGTTGTGGTACATAAGCCACACTTCCGCTCACATTTATAATGCCCTTAATTTTGTCCAAATCTCCTAATAATGAGGAAAGGAGTGAGGATTTCCCAGCGCCGACCTGACCCACTATAGCCACCAATTTATTCCTCTTGATTCTAAGACTGATATTATTTAAGACATTCGGACTCTCTTTGTTCCACTTGAAGGACGCGTTCTCCACAACTATTGGCGTCTCTTTATTCTCCTTCCGAGAAATGGATGTCTCGTCTATTTCTTCCACATTTAAATACTCATTAATTCTTCGAAGGGATACCAAAAACTGAAATAATTAAACAAATATTAATTTTTATGTAAAACACTCTAATATTTCAATACAAACCAATGCACCGAATGATATCAAGTTTGGAAAGAATCCGAGAGGCATTCCTTTAGGTAAAAAATGATCGTTAAATTCTGTGTTTAAATATATTTTGTATACAAATAATAATAATATACTCATGATATTGAAGAGTGAAAGCGAGACAAATATTTTATTTGCGTCTAAGATGTTATCAGAAGACATCAAAACAAATGCCGTAAAACTAAATAAACCGACCTATCATTCAATAAGTATTTATAAATAAATGTTTTATCAAATGTAAAGTTATATTTTATTCAATATAAAAGGCTTACAAAAAATGGTGCCGAAACAAAAGTGAATGCCATTGAGCCGCTCAGGTATGCTATAGAGTTAAGTGACTTGACTTCTGTCTCCCGAAGTGAAACGACCTGTTCTTTGAACGATGTCTCCCATGAATACAATTTAAACACTTTAATACCACTCAATATTTCGTTCATAAGTTTCACTCTTTTATCTTTCATTTTCATGACTTGTCCGCTAAATGAGCGCATTTTAGCGCCAATAAAGCCGTTGNTCTTTCATTTTCATGACTTGTCCGCTAAATGAGCGCATTTTAGCGCCAATAAAGCCGTTGGCGGGCATCAAAAGTAGCATAAATGCCATTCCGGCCAGAGTTGCGATCCCTAACTGTTGCCATAACAGGTATAACGCGACACAGATCTGAAGCGGTGCCGACCATAATATGTTCATCATTTGCATGAAGTCCGTCATTCGTTGCGAGTCCACTGACATTAGGTTTACAATCTCACCGGTTGTGTAGTTTTTGCGACTGTTATTCGACAGCTTTAGATTCTGGTCAACAAGTTTTTATATAACAATTAATTTTTGTTTTCAATTAACTATATTGACAAACCTTTTGATAGACAACGGATATAATGCAAGCTCTGATTTTCAATAAAATCAAATTATTCCTGTAATCGTATTGTCCGCTAAGTATTGATTCAATAAATGGTGACACGAATATAAGGGAAGCGTAGAAATAACCCCTCCATTTGGGTTCAGTATTGTCCGGAGACATAAATCCAATGAGTAAATCCAATACTAATGGACTCATAAATGTCAATAGACTAGTAATTAATTTAATGAGACCAACGAAAAGCATTTGCGGCCAAAATGTTTTCATTAAAGCCACAAAAATGTTAATGTCTTGACTGGAAATGCCATCCTTAGGACTCCATTTGCGTTGAATGATTGGTAACCAAACTTTGTTAAACTTTTCAATGATAAAACTTGATTTGTTTTCAGTGTTCAAATGCCACATATCATCGGTAGTCAACGGCTTTTTGTATCCTTTGTATATCAATGGAGAAAACCATTCAAACGTAAGACGAGAGAGAAATGAAGATTTATATTCCGGGCATAAGTTCTGTAAAATAAAATTAATGTCATATAATTGTAAGAGAATTATGTATTATAATTACAGTTGCTTTTTGTGGGTAATTGTGATCAAAATCAGCGATACATGCAAACAGTAATTGAATGGCAATAATTGGAAAGCTTATCATTCTTGTAATGTAATAATAATAGTTAACATTCAAATCAAAGCCAGTTTTCTGTTATAAATAAATAAAAATTAAATTAATTAAATGGACAATGGTAAATTATATAGTTATAAAATTTGATTACTGTATTGAACACAATTTGCAAAACTGTACGAAAGTTAAGTGCGGCTCCGATTGTGTATAGAATCCAGAATATAAACATAACACCAGAAGAATATATTCTGTGCTTTCGATGAAAATATTGCAAAATAATGGCATAAAGCTATAGAACATAAGCAAATTAATCAATTAATAATTCTAATAAATATATAAATTACTTACGAAAGTGAGTGCTTTAATAAATAATATTGATGTTATGTAACCATTAAAATCATTTGATATTTCATATACCAAATCAGCTATTGTTATGATGAGCAGTGATAAACTTAAAATCTGGTAATTATTTATAAATTAATAAGAATATTAATTATATTATATTATACCAACACTTAAATACTACTCACAAATTTAGTTAATAAAAGCAAAGTATAAGGCAGTGGGGGTTCTTTGATGTTGGTAAAAAACTTGGGAATTTCAAATAATGAGAGTACAAATAAGAAAACGCATGGAATGAGTACAAGTGCTGTCTCTTCAAAACATAATGTAAAATCGGGAAACGAGTCGGAATACCAGCTCAATTCCGGGTCCTTTTCAGTGGTTTCCAAAATTAATGTTAAATAATAATCACATTATAAATGAAATCTCACCCAAAATCTTGATGAACAAAAAGTTGACATTTCTTTGAGCGCATAAAATGCAAAAATAAAATTATACAATACTTTTAACTACTATTTATAAGCATAAAAATAAGAATTATGTTATAAAAGTGCAAATCCTCCTAGTGCAAACAAGTGCAGTGTACAATATACTGTATATTTATCATTATATACTTTTATAAATATAGTGCATTATAATACATATTGTGAACTACTTATAACCAATTAAGGTTTTGTGTGCTTTAGTCTTGCAATCATAGCTTCTCAAGAATCTATTATTGAATAATCAATATATTTTTGTAGCCGTTATAAACACCCCTTTAGTAATATTAGTGTCAATTAAATCACTTCATTAAAGCACTGCATTTTTATGCAATTTAAGATATGATCAATTATTGTTATGAAGCAATTGTATTGTTATAAAAAGATTAGTTCCCGTAAATACAGTATCGTCTTTATATACAGTATAAATATTACAATTTATAAATAAGCGATTGCATCAGCAGTAGGAATAAATTAAAACATAATCAATATATCTACAATAAGACAAAATGATGTTTGTATTATTGTCTAAAAATATAAATTTAATAATCAATTTATAGAATATTGTTACAGTTGTAATATTATACAGTTGTATTAGCAATTAATAAAATATAAATTATATGCAAACTAATAATAAATTTAATGTTTATCATCTCTATTTCAATATTGTTATCATTTGTAACTTTCAAATTTAGTGACAAACAGTGATTATATTTATTTATTTGATAGAAAAAACTTTATGACAACCTAAGGTCTAAAAGCCATCATTCAAATCAATACATGTCTTAAATATTTAGTTTAATCACAAATCAAATGCTTTTTGTTAATTGTTTGATAAACTTATCATTATTTTAGTTCAATATTAGTCTAAACTTCATATACAGAATATAACTGTAAGGTATAATTGTAAAACATTTAAACAAATTTATAGTAACAGATTGTAAGATTGAGTTCATGTAATTTAATTAATTCTCATTCATATTTATATAATTATTTAAATTATATGAAAGCTTTCAGTTATTATATTGTATATCGAATCAGTTTATCAAAGAATTTATTTCCATAAGAATTTGTTTAATTGTTTTTAAAATGTTTACAAAATTGTAGTTTTAACCGAAAAATACAATTATTTCTTGTAATGACATTTTAATTATAATTAAGTTTAATTTGTCCATGTTCGTTAATATAACTGTACTGTTAATATAACTGTATTATAGATGATATTTACTTAAAATACATTATCTCTAAAGCATTGATTAAACTTTTTTGTAAATAATATTTTTGTAATTTTCATAGAAAATGTATAACTTATTTTGTAAGGTAACTTTTTATCACTTTTTTGCAACTTTTCATACATTTGAAGTAACTTTAAGACTGGTTTATATCAATGCTTTAATTATCTCGGTTAATTTCTAGTTGCATTGTGTAAAATTCAAATGAAATTAACAATATATACGGCCAAGCTCATTCTAATGTCCATTATACCTCATCATAAATTTATTAATTTTATACATGTATGTAAATTTACAGTACAGTAGTGCAGGTTTGATATGAGTTTATCATTTTATGATGAATTTATATTTTTACAAATTATATGATATTATGCATAATATACAGCAGTCAAGTGTATCTACAAAAACTGACCATCATTATCATATGTTTGTTAAATTGACCATATGTTGTGATTGAGCACACAATCAGCTCATATGGAAAAGTTGATCAGATAAACTTTATAAAGTATCAAACTATTTATTACTCGAATCACGAGTCAAGTCAAATAAATGTACAGAATATTTAATATACCTCTCAAATATGGCAAATAACTAATCGTAACGTCATTTCTGAATGCCATTTAAATGACAGGTTTATGTGTGGAGTCGTTGACCCCATCGAACCCTTTCGTGAACTCAATGTTTGCAACACTTCCT